AAGATGGCCCAAGATGCCTCGAAGGCGGCCCACAGGCCCCACGGCGGTCCGGTGTGGCCGCAAGACGGCTTAAGACACCTCCAAGAAGGCCACAAGAGGACCTCCCTCCAGCAAAGCCAGAAAAAACACAAATCATTGATGCCCCGTTGGTTGCTTGATGATTCGTGCATTCTCGCCTTTTCCAGGCGTCCGTCCGTTGAAGACGGACCAAGAAGCTTGCAGGATGGCCCCAAGATGCCCCAGGAGGCCCCCTAGAGGGTCTCAAGATGGACCAAGAGGCCCCACGAGTGCCCAACACGCATCTAAGACGGCCCCAAGACGGCCCAAGGAAGCCTCCCGTGGGACCCAAGAAAGCCTCACGAAGCCTTTCGACGGCCCCGCAATGGCCAAAGAGAGCCCCAAGACGGCGCAGGAGGACCACAAGACGGCCCGAGAGGATCCCCAAGCCTGCCTCACAAGAGGCCACGACAGCCCCAAGACGGCCCGAACGAGTTGCATGAAGCCTCCTCAGATAATTACCTTCTGCTGCCGCTTCCTCTTCCTCTTTCCTTCTTTTCTTCCCCCTCTGCCCTCATCATCGTCATCCTTATCCCCATTCTCATCACCAACATCATCATCCTACTCATCCTTGCTATCGTCCGCATCCTCGTCCTCCTCATCACCAACATCATCACCATCGAAACTGATTACCATCACCATCATCATATGCAATATCACCGTCATCGTCATCGCCATCATCATCACCATCATCATCATCATCATCATCATCATCATCATCATCATCATCATCATCATCATCATCATCACGGCTCTCCCATTCCCATGTGGGCATGAAGTGTCACACGTGACGGCTTCTCGTGCCCTCTCGAACCGTCACCACCCAGAATGCAAGTCTGGCAAGGTGGCGGGACTTGCCGCAGGCAGCTGGGTCCGCCGCCCACTGTCGATTCATCGCAGGGGTGCCTGGCGCGCCAGATGATTTCGGTTCCGGTTTTGGTTCTTTTTGCAAAAGAAGCCCCCCCTTGGGCTCCGGCGCGTCCCGCCGGGGTCCCGGACGGAGGTGGTTGCCAACGGATTTCCTTCCCCAGACGGCCCCAAGATGGTCCAGGATGGCTTCCAAGACGGCTAAGATGGTCCCAATATGCCTTCATGACGGCCCAGGTGCACCCAAGGCGGCCTAAGATAGCCTCAAGATGGGCCAAGACGGCCCAAGAGCCCCCTAAGAGGTCTACAAGACAGCCCAAGAGGCCTCCAAGAGGTCCTCCAGGAAGGCCCGACGAGGCCAAAATCATTGATTTTCTGTAGGTTTGAAAAGGATTTTTGCATTTTCGCTTTTTCGGCCTTCCGACGGCCCAAGAGGCCCCCCAAGATCGCCGAACAGGTCTCAAAGATGGCCCCATGACGGCCCAAGAGGCCCCCAAGATGCCCCCAAGAGAGCCCCAAGACGGCCCAAGATGCGCCCAAGACCCCTCGTCGGCCATCTTCAAGCCAGCTCGGGCCCTCTTGGGGCGCTCCTGGGCGTCTTCGGGGCCTCTTGAGGCTTTCTTGACCATCTGTACGGCCAGCGTGGCCTGTCGTGGGCAATTTGGAAGCGGCCCGGGCCAGTCCCGGGGGGTCTGTGACCCCCCGAAGGTTGGGGGGGGCGCCCAAAGGGATGATGGCACCGGTTTCGGCCCCCCCCTCCGGCCTACCCCCATACATACATATACACATACATATACATACACATATGCATATACATATACATGTAACTACACATACACATATACATATACATATACATACACATACACATACACATATACACATACATATACATATACATATACATACATACCTCAGCGCAGAGGCAGCCACTGCCCCCTGATGTTCCACCATGTCAGTAGTCCACCAGATAGTGCCGTGGATGGTGAAGAACAGCGCAAGAGCTGACTAGGCCAGCTCCGCTACCACGCTTGAAGCTGGCCGGGAAGCCCAACCAGATGCTTCGCCTAAAGCGAAGCCTGTATCCAACTCTGGTATACAGTGGTAACGACAGTCCCAAGAGCAGGAGAGAGTCGCAGGAGCGACGAGCCATGTCAAGCGAATCTGTTTTCGGTCTCAATGGCAAAAAGTGTGCCTCGCGGTGAGGCACAGTCAAACCTTGGTGGCCAGCCGCTTGAACCCAAACAGCCGCGGACAAACGCTCGCTACCTCTCGCCTTTGCCCAGCGTCCTTTACAGTGTCTCTACGCCCCTTCTCTCGACAACTCCTCGGAGCACCGTTTCTGGATGGGCTGGTGGGAATACAGTCGGACCTACGACAGAACAACATCTTTCACGAGACCCTCCGCCGACCAAAATGAAAGGCATTCGAGAGTACCCTCCCCCAGGATGTACAATAACATTCAACAAACCAACCTCGATATTATACCTCGGTCCACTTGTACGCGAAGCGTCAAGAGTGGGGGAGGAGCAGCATTGGCCGCCACACTGCTGGTGACATACTTCTTCGAAGGCGGGGCGCGTCATAGAAGGCAGGGGCCTTCTGAGAAAAGCCTGGTGGCTTCTAAAAAGGCTTCTGACGAAGGGGCCCAGGGACACACCATTAAATACAGACAAATCCCAGGATTCGCTGTATTTTCAATCGTTTCTGGGTGTTCGTCTTCCTCTCCACTTCCAAAATGTTCCATGGTTCAAGGGAATCGACGATTCGTTGTGTCTGTGCGTTCTTTCCCCTCCTGATCTTCGAGGCCAGGAGGGCTTCGAAGACGCCGCCTGACTTCTGAGGACCCCCCCGCCGCCTTCTCAGAAAGCCGGCGCCGCCCCCCTCGCGCCAGCCCTTGTCGGCGCCGCTGAGATTACTTTGGACTCGTCACTCTTGGCGGCGCGCAGAGGAGGCTGCTTCTTAGAACGCACCAGCCTTCCATTTATGGATAGGGTCCGCGCCTTCTAATAAACAGAGGTGCCTCTTAGAAGCCTGAACCCCCTCCCCCTGCCCCCCTCCGCGCGTGGCTGACAACCTGCCAGAGGGGCAACGATCAGGGGCGCCCAGCTTAAGGGGGGAAACCATCGACCCGGAATCGGCGATAGCTCGCCGATAGTTCGGCGACAGGACCCCCCTAGCGAAACCGCACGGTGCTGGGAAGGGTGGGCTATCAGGCCTCCATCGGCGATCAGTGGGCGATTGGGTCGTCAATGCGTCCACCCCTGAGCCTGCGCCCCCCCCATTGTTGCCCCTTGGTTTTTGGGTGCTCCTCTCTCCAGCGGCCGTTCGGGACGATCCGGGAACCCCCGAACGCCCTCGGCGAGGCCCAGCTGCTGAAAGCACCCCGAGGCTGGAAAACCGCCGAGAGCTGACGAGAACGCCCGAAAACCTCTAACCTCGATTCTCCTCCTTCCTCCCTCCAGGACGTCCTCCTCCCTCCTCTCTCCTGACTGCGGCTGGTTCGCATCGCGATGTCGCGGGCGTTCGTTTCTGACGCCGAGTGAACCATTCAACCTTTGCCGATCGCGGCTCTCCAACAGCGCAGATCGCTCGACATCGGGCGATGCTGGGCCTCTGGCGGCGTTTATCCTTGAACGCCCGCGCTGGGGTCGCCGCCGCGTCAACGCGGCGCAAATCTATCGCACTGGTGTCCAGGACTTCCTCCTCCCTCCTCCCAGCGCTGCCCTTCTGCGCGGCCCTGCGCCGCTCGCGCGTCAAGCATCTAGCGGCGCACCGCGCCGGGCGCTCTCGATAATGCAGGGGCCCAAGGAGGCACGAATAAATAGACACACATTCCAGGACTCCCCATCGTATTATGAATGTTTCTGTTGATATTCGTCCATGCCCATGGTTTCCAATACTTCCCTGAATGCCGACGTTTACTAGTGTATGTGTCTATTTTTCCTCCTGAGACAAGACCATTGAGGTGCACCTTGCACGCGTCTTTCTCCGCCTCGAGCTCCCTAGCCTTCAGGATTCTCTGGCTCCGCCTTCATCGATGCCTGCTTCTTGCCCAGCTCCTTTCTCATCATCGCCCTCCTCGCCTTCCTTGGCGGCATCACCTCGCTTTCCTGCGCGCCAGAGCCGTCGCCCTGGGCTGCCAACCTCCTTGCGAGCAAACCATGTTTGTCCCTGGCAAGCATAACCGGCTTGATTTTGACCAGCGCGGCGGGCTCCTCGGTGGTGTCCGCCCGGACCAACTCGGCGGGCTCCTCGGTGGTGTCCGCCTGGACCAGCTCGGCGGGCTCCTCGGTGGTGTCCGCCTGGACCAGCTCGGCGGGCTCCTCGGTGGTGTCCGCCTGGACCAACTCCGCGGGCTCCTCGGTGGTGTCCGCCTGGACCAGCTCGGCGGGCTCCTCGGTGGTGTCCGCCTGGACCAGCTCGGCGGGCTCCTCGGTGGTGTCCACCTGGACCAGCTCGGCGGGCTCCTCAGTAGTGTCCGCCCGGACCAGCTCGGCGGGCTCCTCGGTAGTGTCCGCCTGGACCAGCTCGGCGGGCTCCTCGGTGGTGTCCGCCTGGACCAGCTCGGCGGGCTCCTCGGTGGTGTCCGCCTGGACCAGCTCGGCGGGCTCCTCGGTGGTCTCCGCCTGGACCAGCTCGGCGGGCTCCTCGGTGGTGTCCGCCTGGACCAGCTCGGCAGGCTCCTCGGTGGTGTCCGCCTGGACCAACTCCGCGGGCTCCTCAGTAGTGTCCGCCCGGACCAGCTCGGTGGGCTCCTCGGTGGTGTCCGCCTGGACCAGCTCGGCGGGCTCCTCGGTGGTGTCCGCCTGGAACAGCTCGGCGGGCTCCTCAGTAGTGTCCGCCTGGACCAGCTCGGCGGGCTCCTCGGTGGTGTCCGCCTGGACCAGCTCGGCGGGCTCCTCGGTGGTGTCCGCCTGGACCAGCTCGGCGGGCTCCTCGGTAGTGTCCGCCTGGACCAGTTCGGCGGGCTCCTCAGTGGTGTCCGCCTGGACCAACTCGGCGGGCTCCTCGGTGGTGTCCGCCGCGCCCGTGCTGTCCCGAGATGCCAGGCTCAGCACGCCAGGCTCGTTCATCCCCGACTCGCTCACGTTGGCCTCCGACGCGCTGAGCACCTCCGCCGCGATGGTAGATCCCGCGCCCTCGCCGTCGTCGAGCAGGTCGCTCGGCACGCCCGTCACGTACGTATCCTCGTGCGCCTGGTCGGTCGTCGTGCCCTCGTCGTCGTCGTCGTCGTCGTCGTCGTCGTCGTCGTCGTCGCCGTCGTGCAACTGCATAAAGCTTAAGTTCTAAAAGACCCGCGCGTATCTCTTGGATCGGCGCTGGATCCCCCTCCCTGGCGCGGAGCGCGCCAATGGCGGCGCCTCTAGGGGCCCAGCGCCGATCCAAGAAATCAGCGCGGAGCTCCGAGACAAGATGTTTGTACACGTTTGGTCCCAACCCTCCTTTGTTTGGCTCTCGTTTCGAATCATGCACTGCGGTCTCCACTCCTTAATTCCTTCCTTTCAGTCTCCTCCTCCTCCTGCCTCCTCCTCCCCCTCGTCCTCCTTCTCCTTCTCCCCCTCCTACTCTTCCTCGTCCTCCTTCTCCTCCTCCCCATCCTCCTTTTCCTCCTCCTCCTCCTCCTCCTCCTCCTCCTTTATCCTCATCCCCCTTGCGGTTTCCTGGGGAGCTGCGACATGCGCAACTTTCGCCACTCTCGTGGGCGACTGGGAGTACCAGCATAATGGAGGGTCACGCAAGCCCAGCCGAGACCTCGCGGCTCCCTGGGCCTGGGGGCCGCGAGCTGCGCAACCGTCGCCACTTTGGCGGGCGACTGGGAGGCCCAACGAAGTGGAGGGCCACAGACACCCAGCCGAGACCTCGCGGCTCCCTGGGGGGCTGCGAACTGTGCAGCTGTCGCCACTTTCGTGGGCCCCTGGGATGCTCAACGGAGTGGAGGGCCACGCACACCCAGCCGAGACCTCACGGCTCCCCGACCACGGAGGGGTGCTCCTGTGCACTGCGGGTCCTTCAGCATGCTCGTTCGTGTAGTGAGCGGTCCTGGTTCCACATGGCCAGGAGGGGTTGGGAAATCCCATCAGCCCTCTGGGCGTAGGTGGTTTAACGAGTTGTGTCTTCTCTTCTCTCTGTCAACATCTCTCCTTCCCCTGCTCGGAAAAAGGGGTTTGGCGACTGTCAACTCCCCTTCTCCCTGTCAACTTTCCTTCCCCATGCGACGGCCACCCAAAACAATGCGGACCCCATGAGGACCCCCCAAGCCATCCTTGTCAAACAACAACGCGAACACACACTCTGCCTCCAAATTCGGAGGATGCGCAACCAACCCGAGTCGGCCCCCCCACCCACCCCTGTCACATTATCCTGGCGGAAGACCCAACCATATGCAGTTGTGACTAACGCGTTGTGAATGCCGTTTTCGGTGGAGCTCCCGATGGGGCCAAGAAGCGCGTGAGGGACGTGCCGTAATGGGTGGGGGAGACGCATGCGGGCGGTGCCACTGGGGCCGTCGGTGGGGGTTCCCTATGGGCCACGAAACCCTGTGCTGGGTGTGACGGACGCATGCGGGCGGTGCCCCTCGCAGAAGCTCCCGATGAGTCCACGAAATGCTGTACTGGTTGGTGGCTGACGTATGCGGGCGGTGCCACTGGGGTCTTTCCTGTAGGGGCCACGAAACGCTGCAATGGGTGGTGGCCGACGCACGCGGGCGGTGCCAGTGGGGGTTTCTGTGGAGCTCCCTATGGGGCCACGAAGCGCTGTACTGGGAGGGGAGGACGCATTCGGGCGGTGCCACTGGGGCCTTCGGCTGAACTCCTTATGGGCCCACGAAGCGCTTCACTACGTGGGGGGTCGCACGCGGGCGAACCACTGGAGCTCCTTCCGGGGCCACGAAACGCTGTACGGGGTGGGGGGGACGCATGCGGGCCGTGCCACTGGGGCCTTCGGAGCTCCCAATCAATGGGGCAACGTAATGCAATACTGGGTGGTTGACGACGCATGCGGGCGGTACCGCTGGGGTCTTTCTGTGGAACTCCCTACGGGGCACGCAACGCTGTAGTGGGTGGTATCGGACGCATGCGTGCGGTCCCACTGGGACCTTCGGTGAAGCTTCCTATGGGGCCACGAAGCGCTGCACTGGGTGGCTGACGCACGCGGGCGGTCCCACTGGGGCCTTCGGTGGAGCCCCCTATGTGACCACGAAACGCTGTGCTGGGTGGTGGCTGACGCATGCGGGCGTTGCCACCGGGGGCTTCGGTGGAGCCCCCCTGTGGGGCCACGAAGCGCTGTTCTGGGTGGTGGCTGACGCATGCGGGCGGTCCCACTGGGGCCTTCGGTGGAGTCCCCTGTAGGACCACGAATCGCTGTACTGGGTGGTGGCTGACGCATGCGGGCGGTGCCACTGGGGCCGTCGGTGCAACTCCCTATGAAGCCACGAAGCGCTGTACTGGGTGGCGGCTGGCGCATGCGGGTGGCGGTGGAGCCCCCTATGTGACCACGAAGCGCTGTGCTGGGTGGTGGCTGACGCACGCGGGTCGTCCCATTGGCAGATTCGGTGGAGTTCCCTCTGGGGCCACGAAGCGCTGTGCTGGGTGGTGGCTGACGCACGCGGGCGGTCCCACTGGGGCCTTCGGTGGAGCCCCCTTGTGGGGCGACGAAACGCTGTGCTGGGTGGTGGCTGACGCATGCGGGCGGTGCCACCGGGGCCTTCGGTGGAGCCCCCCTGTGGGGCCACGAAGCGCTGTGCTGGGTGGTGGCTGACGCAGGGCCACGGAACGCTGTGCTGAGTGGTGGCTGACGCATGCGGGCGGTGCCACTGGGGCCTTCGGTGGGGCTCCCGATGGGCCACGAAACGCTGCACTGGGTCGTGGCTGACGCATGCGGGCTGTACCACTGGGGCCTTCGGTGAAGCCCCCTATGTGACCACGAAGCGCTGTGCTGGGTGGTGGCTGACGCATCCGGGCGGTGCCACTGGGGGCCGTCGGTGCAACTCCCTATGAGGCCACCAATCGCTGTACCGGGTGGTGGCTGACGCATGCGGGCGGTGCCACCGGGGCCTTCGGTGGAGATCCTTTTGGGGCCACGAAGCGCTGTGCTGGGTGATGGCTGACGCATGTGGGCGGTCCCACTGGGGCCTTCGGTGGAGCTCCCTGTGGGACCACGAAGCGCTGCACTGGGTGGTGGCTGACGCACGCGGGCGGTGCCACTGGGGCCTTCGGTGGAGCCCCCTGTTGGGCTACGAAACGCTGTGCTGGGTGGTTGCTGACGCATGCGGGTGGTCTCATTGGCAGATTCGGTAGAGTTCCCGATGGGCCACGAAACGCTGTGCTGGAAGGTGGCTGACGCATGCAGGCGGTGCCAGTGGGGATTTCGGTGAATCTCCCCTGTGGGGCCACGAAACGCTATGCTGAGTGGTGGCTGACGCATGCGGTCGGTGCCACTGGGGCCGTCGGTGCAACTCCGTATGAAACCACGAAACGCTGTACTGCGTGGTGGCTGGCGCATGCGGGCGGTCCCATTGGCAGATTCGGTGGATTTCCCTACGTGACCACGAAGCGCTGTGCTGGGTGGTGGCTGACGCACGCGGGTGGTCCTATTGGCAGATTCGGTGGAGTTCCCTATGGGGCCACGAAGCGCTGTGCTGGGTGGTGGCTGACGCACGCGGGCGGTCCCACTGGGGCCTTCGGTGGAGCCCCCTTGTGGGGCGACGAAACGCTGTGCTGGGTGGTGGCTGACGCATGCGGGCGGTGCCACCGGGGGCTTCGGTGGAGCCCCCCTGTGGGGCCACGAAACCCTGTGCTGGGTGGTGGCTGACGCAGGGCCACGGAACGCTGTGCTGAGTGGTGGCTGACGCATGCGGGCGGTGCCACTGGGGCCTTCGGTGGGGCTCCCGATGGGCCACGAAACGCTGCACTGGGTCGTGGCTGACGCATGCGGGCGGTGCCACTGGGGCCTTCGGTGGAGCCCCCTATGGGGCCACGAAGCGCTGTGCTGGGTGGTGGCTGACGCATGCGGGCGGTCCCAATGGGGATTTCGGTGGAGCTCCCTATGGGGCCACGAAGCGTGTGAGGGGTGTGCCGACATGGCGGGCACGTGGAAGGCAGAGGCAAGGGATGGGAGGGGGAGGGAGGGGGAGGAGGAAAGAAGAGGGAGGGAACGCGAGGACCGTGTCCTCAAAAAGATGACCCAACACCTCAGGACGGTTGGGGAAAACAAAACAACGCACACTTTGGGGCAACGTCTGGACTCATGTTCGTGAGGCCCGCGGGCACTTTGCGGTATCTTTTTACAGGGGCGGCTGGGGTGTCAGCTTATTGCCTGCTGTGCGCAGGGCTACCACCCCTGACAAACATTACCCTGGCGAAGGGCCCAACCATAGGCAGGTGTGGGTACAGCAATTGTGAATATCTTATTCGGTGGAACGCCCTATGGGGCCACGGGGCGCTGCACTGGGTGGGTGGGTGGGGGGGAGGATCACGCGGGCGGTCGCAGTGGGGCCGTCGGTGGGGCTCCCTATGGGGGGCCACGCTACACTGTACTGGGCGAGCGAGAATGCCAAATTCGGTTTTCGGAACGCACGCGGACGGTCCCATTGGGGGCTTCGGTGGAGCTTCCTATGGAGCCACGACGCGCTGTACTGGGTGGGCCAAAGCAAATACCAAACTGGGTGTGTGGGACGCATGCGGGCGGTGCCACTGGGACCGTCGGCGGGGCTGGGGCCACGCAACGCTGTACTGGGCGAGCGAACATGCAAAATTCGGTTTTCGAGACGCAAGCGGGCGGTCCCACTGGGACCTTCGGTGGAGCTCCCTATGGGGCCACGAGGCGCTGTACTGGGTCAATAAAATGCCAAATTGGGTGTGTGGGACGCACGCGGGCGGTCCCAGTAGGGGCTTTGACGGAGCTCCCTCTGAGGCCACGAAGCGTTGTGCGTTGTGGGCGAAAATGCCGGATTGGGTGTGTGGGACGCATGCGGGCGGGTCCCACTGCTGGGGGCTTCGGTGGTGCCCCCTTTGGGGCCACGAAGCGCTGTACTGGGTGGGTGAACATGCCAGATTCGGCTTTCAGAACGCATGCT